TTAGAGTCGTTTTCTCACTTCTACAGGTAGTCCAGCCCTTGATTGAATCTTGCACCAAAGAGAACATTGCAAAAGGCAAGAACTGGGCCGTGGACCAGATGTCTAAGAGTGAAGATCTCACAAGTCTGATGGGCGAATATTTGCTATTTCGGGTCGCCAACACAGACGCCACCTTCGACCTTCGCTTGCACATTGTTTACTTGTTGAATGATCTTCTCCACCACATTAAGCGTCGGGGTGTGACGTCGCACTTTCAGGTAAGTATCAAATCACATTTCGTCTCTGAAAGTAATAACTTGGCGAGTCAAGTGCTTTTCTTGCCGTCTGTACATGTAATGTAAATGAGTAAGAAGGTCATATACGTATAGCTGACGGGTTCTAACACCTACTGGCGTCCCTTGCAATAAAATCATGGCAGTCATGATGAGATGCGGTTGTTTCTGTGGTTGTGTCGCATGCACTCCGGCCTTTGTGTGACGTCTGCATACGTTTAAGGGACGGCTCTTCATTGTCGACTACATTTCCAGGCCGACAGCTGGGAGCTGCTCCTTATTGCTCACAGTATGGTTTTGAAAGTAGGCGAGGACAATTTCCGCTTATGGATGATGATGGCATATAACAAAATGGACCCTTTGATGCTTACTTCTTGAAGAACCCAAGCCCTGAGTCTTTCTGATAATATATGACGGTATGGAAGACGATTTACAGAAGTTTTAGTGAAAGCCTTGATTGCTTACAATTTCCTGTGTCTGCCGCTATCCTGGAAGACCCCTTCGTGACCAGCGGCAGAGCGGAAGATGCCGTTAATGCTCTTTTCGTACAGTATCACGCGCGTAGTCCACTAAAGTTATCATGAACCATTTGTAGAAACGTGCCAACCCAGACAAACAAACATAGTAGAAGTGATTTTGACTACGCGCAGCTTTTTAACATAACCGTAGACATCAGTGCAGAAATGCGACAGGAAATTATCTCTATTAATCTTTTAAATCAACTTATGCTTTTCAAACGCCTGAAAGGAGTACTGAAAAACAAGAGGGAGACCGGAATAACCGTTTGTGACTTATTAGTCGTCATACCCATTCCCAGGGTTTAGGGAGCCTGGGGTTCAAACCTAGGATCTTTGGTCAATGAGTCAAACGGTTTACCAGTTGCATCACGGGCTCGCTTTCCTACCGGTCGTGGTCGCGAATATTATCTGTATTCAAATGGCATAAACCACTCGGTTAGGGGACATGCTCGTGGCGCTGTGCATTGAGTCTCCACCTAGAGCCCACGAAGGCAGTCACATAGTGATCGGCGAACGCAATTTCGACAGCTTGATATTCCCGATGGGACAACGAACTCGTGGCTCCCTGGCAGGGCATCCCACTCAATGATCAAACATTCATGGTTCGCATCCTAGGTGCCCCAAACCAAGGGTTGGGTGAGACTGATGGCTAATAAGTCAGAAATGGCTACTCCAGTTTCCTCTGCCTATAATACTAGCCGTCGCGCGACTGCTGTCGGTGCTTGAGAGTGAGCCCCAAAGCGGAACGGGACGAGCTAGTCCCGTAAACGGTCAGTGAACGTCCATCCGCTAAAGTTTTTTTGAATATGACTCACTTATGCTGGCTTATTAGCCATCATCATCATCATCATCATCATCATCATCATCATCAT